TATATTATTTTTTCCTGGATTCATTATCTTGCATTTGTCTGTACTAAAACAAATTGTATTGGATTTGTGACCATTTAACTAGGTGATTAGCTCAATCTGTAACAGTAACTTTTCATCCTTGTTATTTAATATCCCACCAGTCTTTGTGGTGCTATAGAGAAATTCAAGTTTACTATTCACAACAAACATACTTTTCCCAAACAGGATTTTAATCCTATCATAAAAAAGTTCACGGATTTGCTTGACAAAAATCTACTTTCCATGAAACCAAGCTGAGTAGCATTAATTATATTTTAGCCTCTGATAATTTATTATCAGAGTCTCAGATTAATTATTCCATTGTTTTACCTAGAAGCCATATTAAGCTATCTGATATACTATTATCTAGATTATCTCTTTTACACTTTTAAAATACTGGTTGAACCTCTCTTAACCAGGACTCTCTGGTCCGGCAACATCCCTGGTCCAGAAGGACTAGGGATGTTCCAGGACCAGAGAGTCCCGCGGAGGGCTGGTGGCTGGGAGCCCTGCAGCGGGGCTGGAGCCCAGTAACGGGGCTGTCCTGGGGCAGTGAAACTGGGAGCCCAGCAGCAGGGCCACCTCCCTGTAGTGACACTGTGGGGAAAGGGAGGCAGCAGGGCTGCCCGAAGGGCTAGAGCCCAGTTGCGGGGCTGCCTCCTGGTAGTGAAACTACCGGGCAAGACCAGTAAGCAGTGGGGTTGCCCAGTGGTGGGGTTGGGAACCCAGCAGTGAGGCTGCCTGACAGCACAACCAGCAGCCCCACTGCAGCCCAGTGATTCAGCTCTGCAGTGGGACTAGGAGGTAGCAGGGCTGCCCCATGGGGCTGAGAGCCCAACCGCAGGACTGCCTGGCAGCAGGGCCAGGAACCCAGGGGTGGGGCTTCCCAGTGAAGATGCCTGGTGCGGCTGAGAGGCAGCAGCACTGCTCAGCTGAAACTCAGCAGAGGGGCTTTCCCCACACAGCCGGGAGCCTGTGTTTTCTGCAGCGGGGTTGCCATGGTGGGGCTGTGAGCCTTGCACTGAGGGGCCAATGGCAGGGGGGGCTGGCAGCAAGGCCATGGCTTGGGAGGAGGGGAGGTCTGGGACGGGAGCAGAAATGACTTTCCCTGGTCTGGCAAAATCCCTCATCTGGGACCGGTCAGGACCTGAAGGTGCCAGAGTGGGGAGGTTCAACCTGTTTTGGCAATACATTGACAACCACCATGGGAAGGAGTAGGAAGGAACAAGAGTAGCAGCAGAGAAAATGCTAATGCCATATTACATCTGCTCTCAGGGGTGGATGAGAGTGCTGCGGGGCCCAGGGCAGCACCGCGGGGCCCAGAGCAGCACAAATTCACGCATGTGCCATGGCCACAGCCAACAGGAATTAGCGCATGCACGGGGACTATTGAAGCGTGGGGCCCGGGGCAGACGCCCCGCTTGCCCAGCCCTATATCCACCACTGTCTGCTCTTATAGCAGAACTTTCTCCTGAGTTCCAGACAGCCCTTTTTCTCCTTATGTGGGGATACAGGATCATGATGTCTCTTATTTTTAAAATTCTATATTAGGGATCCTAATGTTCAAATAACACATGCAGCATATTTCATTAATTATGTCTGCATTTTTGCATTTTACTTATTTTTAATTAATGTTTTAATGTGGACCAGTTGGTTTCCAAGGGATATGGGAGCCTGTTTAGAGCGTTGTAATGTCTTCCTGTCCATGTGTGGGAGCTGGTTCAAGTGCACCAGTAAGGAGTTTGGGTTTGTATGTGTCTCACTTCTCTCTATTCAGAAGGGCTAGTAGGATGCACCTGGAAGGTATAAGCATAGATACTGAATAAGACCATGATGGCAGTGTTGCAAGATAGTAACCGTATAGTGGCTCTGAGATAAGAGTAACAATCAAATCTGATATCCTATGTAGGTGGTCCCAATTAAATTGGGATGTTTCCTGTAGCATAAAAATATTAAAGAGAAAACATGACAAGAATGTGTTAGAAGAGATTTCATGACATTAAAACTTCTATTTTGTAGATGTGAAAGGCATTAGATAAATTTTCACGTGGCGAAATAAATACTTCACAAATTACATCTTAATAATGTCTTGGGCAATACAAAGACCAATTGACGGATGTGCTGAGTGTCTACAATTAGCACTGATTTTAATGAAAGTTACATAATTAGCTCGTCAAACAAAATTGACATATAACAGTACTTAAGCAAAACACATTGACGGAGCACTTCAGTTTGTCCATCAAATGTCATCACAAACACAATTTAGAGAAAAAAAAATCACTTTTCTCTGGTGTCTCTCTTCTGGTATAATAAAACAATAATTTCAAATATTTTAGATTTGCCTTTCTCTTAATTCTTGTCCAGAGAATTAACTGTCGTTATGGATTGGTGCCTTTTTGGATTTGCCTTCTGATTTATTTTTTGCTTAACTGGAAACTGACTATTTTTACCAAATTCTCTGAACTGTAAAAATTCAGTAAAATCATCTGCAATAATTGTTTTACAGAGAAGCAGGTTCAGTGCTTTTTTAGTTCAAAATAAACTGTTTTTTTTAGGTTCTACATGAGGGGTGAGCAATAAAGAGGTGGGGGTGCTGCCGGTAATATTTACCTGCTCCTCTGCAGGTACTGGCAATTGCGGCTCTCGTTGGTGGTTGATTGCCATTCCTGGCTAATAGCAGCTTCAGGAAGCTGCGTGGACCAGGACACAATCCCCAGGGGACTAGAAGTGGCCCGTGGACTGGTATTTGCCCACCCCTTTTCTACATTGTCCAGCCCTACTCATATCATCAACTTCTACTACTTGAGGCCCTACATCGAAGGTTCTCATACTGGAAGATTTAATATACATCTTTCAGTGGGCTGTATAGCCTTGTAACATCTGACCTATCCTAGGTCTACACAATATCATTTTATATATCAGCAGGGGCGCTGCAACGATTTTTATCCTGAAGGTGCTGAGATCCATTGAACCAAACTTTAAGACCTGTATATAATAGAAACCATGTCATGCCTGGACGACCATGCCCCTTTTAGCCTTAGTTCTAGCTTCTGTGTACATCAGTCTCTTAATCTATATTAAATACCAAATCATATTTGTAAAGTGTAAACACATTTCAAAACACTATTAATGTTTTAGTCTAGACAAGTGCTACTGCTTAAAAATACTCAGTGTTCCATTTTTATAGCTTTAATCAGTGTAATTATAGTGGATTGTTAGTCTGATAGAATATTTGTATTCATAATTTATATTACAGTTTGATAATTGCGTCCCTAAGAAGTAATTCTTTATTTCTGGGCCTGGAACCTTAATAGCTCAGATAAATGTGTTTATGTTTTTGTTTGCAATTCAGGGTATATAAGTTCACCACTTTAAAACATTTTTATCATCCTATTACACCGTTAGTCAAATTTGTCTTAAGAAAGCACAGATAGACTACAGTGAGAAGTTTGCAAAGTCACAGACCAGCTAAGAGCACATTTAATAGTCAGTGCAATGTTTCTTGGCCTTTTTGATCACAGATATTGGCTTGCTGCCTTCCTAAGCTCTGTTAGGGAGATCTCAGAGACTGCCCTGAACCATGTACAGGTTGGACCTCCTGGGTCCAGCAAAATCCCTCATCTGGGACCAGACAGGACCTCTGTGATTTAGTACCTTCCAGACGCAATTGGTCTAGGATGAGAGATTTTGCCAGACCAGGGGAGATTATTTCTGGCCCTTCCTTGCCTTGCCCCACCCCCCAGCCATGGCCTTCCTTCTGGCCTCCCAGCCAGCCAGCTCCCCTACTGCCAGGCTCCTGGCCCTGCTGGGCAGGCCTGCTGCCTCCTGGCTCCCCAAGGCAGTTGTGCCACCAGGCGGCAGAGCCTTGCTGATGGACTCCAGCTGCTGCTGGGCTCCGACACCATTGCTGGACAGCCCCACTGCTTGGCTCCCAGCCCCATTCCCAGGCCCCAGGCCTGCTGCTGGGCAGCTCCACTGTTGGGCTCCAGCCCCACTGCAGGGCTTCCAACTGCCAGCCCTCTACCAGGACTCTCTGGTTCTGGAACACCAGTGGTCTGACTGGACCATGGATGTTGCCATACCAGAGAGTCCTGATGCAGAGAAGTTCAATTTGTAGTGACCAGCACCGGTTCATGGACCAGTAGTTGAGAAACACCAGTCTAATGGACCTCCGGGATTGAAATGATATCACTTGCCACAAGCGTAATGCAGGCTTAGGTATTACATGGGAGCAAAAGTTGCCATTTTAATGGTACTGCCTGACATGACATCAGTTTTAAACAACATGTTGAATGCACTTGTTATCCCTAGGTGTTCAGGAGCAGTTGGCATATTTTGCTACAATTGAGGGAATTTTGTAAATGTGATTTATAAATCATCTTTAATATTATTATGATTTGAAATTGTTTGGAAGAGAATATTAATTCATTTCCCTGTTATTGTAATGTTTTAGCTGTTTACTAATTTCTCTTTCCACGGTTTAGCAAAATAAGTCTTTTAGTGGAATTCTAGACTGCTGTATTATCATTCAAGCCTTTTCTGACTGACACTTTGCAGGACTTTTCCTGAGCTCTTCACAGACAAGGATATTAATCTCTTATCTTGGATTGGTGGATGTATGGCCCACGAAAAAAAAATTATCATTAACATTTTTCTTTCTATTGGAGTGCTATTTTTTTTTAATGTGAACAGTGAGAATTTTACAAAGCTTTGGTTCTTTATGTTCTTAGAATGATAAAATCAGACCTAATTCAAATCATTCTCTAAGTTTATTGACTCTAGGACCACAAGTATTTGATGACTGTCTTTAGATATCTGATTAATTTAAAAACTGAAAGAAATAGTTGTGGTCTAGGAACTTTAACATATTCAGATCAGACCATTTAAAAATCAATGCCATGAAAATTACATAGCTAGAAATGTAATTTTAAGATGACTGCTGCAAATATAATTTTTTTTGCTTTCTTTATTTTCACTTTTAGCAAAGAACAAAAATGAGATGTCATTTGAAGGATTTTTAAGATACATGAACTCATACGAGTGTGAGCTATATAGAAAAGAACACCGAAGAATTTACCAAAACATGAACTACCCATTACGTGATTATTTCATTTCATCTTCTCATAATACCTACCTCATATCTGACCAACTATTAGGGCCAAGTAACCTTTGGGGTTATTCAAGGTATTTAAATACTTTTTAAAATTGTAAGCAAATTATTTTGCAATGTGTCTTAAGCTACAATTTATTAATTTGTCTTTCACAAATGTGTATTTAGCAGTAAGGAATCAAAGATTCTGTTTAAAACAATGATGAAAGCTAGAATAATATTCTTTGAATATGACCTAGTGAAATTTTTTCTATGTGTACACATTTTGATATATTTGCCACCCCATCTGTCTACCCTCTAAAGACCACGCAAACCAGTTTTTCATTGGCCTTGCATCTACTACTGTCCCTTGAAGCAAATAATGACAACATCTGTAGCACATTGCTAGTATATTGTAGTGTTTAATCTCCTCATCAGTGAAGATATATAATTAATCTTCCATTTATTCAAATAAATAGGTGATCAAATTCTGGATGCAGCTATAGTGGCAAGGGACCCATCTCTTTGCAGGTCTATGTCTTAGTGTACACAGGAAAAGCAGTTATAATCAACTCCATTTGGTTAGGGTACCCAAATGAGTCATTTACCATTGATGGGGTGCTCTGGCCATGCCTCCTCACCACCTCCCTGGCTATGTCTAGACTACAGGCTTCTTGCGCAAAAGAAGATCTTCCACAAAAACTTCTTGTGCAAGAGAGCACCACACACAAAAGCGCGTCAAAAAAGCAATGTACTTTTGCGCAAGACAGCATCCAGACTGATTGGATACTCTCTTGCATAAAAGGCCACCCAGAACCACTTCAGGCAGGGCTTTCGGTCATTAGTTGCTTCTGAGGGTTGGTGCCGGAGCCTTGCAGAGACATGTGCTTAAAGGGACCCCCCTGGGCAGCCATTTCTCTGCTTCTGCTGCCTGTTTGTGGAGCTCTTTGAGGGAAAGCAAAGATTCAGCAGTAGCTGCTGTGGTTGCCCTGTTCTCTTTTGAAATGCAACAGCTTTTTCCTGTTGTGTACTATGGAGCCGGAGATGCCCCTGGGTAGGCGATGGCCCCACATGGCCATGCTGCAGTTCTTGCAGCATTTGCTGCCAGCTGCCTACCTCTTCTTGGTGGACGTGGACCCCGAGCTCCTTCTCAGAACCCCCTCTGTGGCTGCGGCTGTGGCTGCTCCACTCTGGCTGCCGCACCCCATTGTACAGAGGCATTTTTGGAGGCTCGAGACGAGTTCGGACTGGTGGGACCGGCTGGTCCTGGAGCGATGGGATGACCAGCAGTAGCTGCACAAGTCTGAAATGTGCAAGGCCACCTTCCTTGAGCTCTGTGCCTGGCTCGCACCCGCCCTCCAAAGATGTGGCACTCACCTGCAGCCAGCCATTCCCCTGAAGAAGCGGGTTGCAATCACCTTGTGGAAGCTGGCCACCCAGACAGCTACTGGTCAGTGGGCAACCAGTTTGGGGTGGGGAAGTCCACCGTTGGGGCCCTCCTTATGCAAGTAAGGAGCTCTCGGGCAGCAGTGCTTGCATGGGGGAAGGAGGAAGGGAGAGTGTTGCATAAGAGGGACCCTTGGCAAAGGGGGCTGGGGACTGTAGGGGGGTGTAGTGGGGTTTAAGGGAAAGCCTTGTCCCCAGGGGGTTGTGCTGTCCTACCCTCACACAGCCCTGCTGCTGGGAGTGGGGTGGGGAATGGGCTCATAGGGGATGGCTCTTGGGAGTTTGGAGGGGCAGAGGAGGGGAGGGGGATGGGCACTTACCAAAGGCTCAGTCATCCCCTCTCTCATTCTCTGTTTTGTGTGTTTCTTTGTCTGGGGAATGGGCTCATAGGGGATGGCTCTTGGGAGTTTGGAGGGGCAGAGGAGGGGAGGGGGATGGGCACTTACCAAAGGCTCAGTCATCCCCTCTCTCATTCTCTGTTTTGTGTGTTTCTTTGTCTCCTTCTGCAAGTGATGAGGGCCATTAACTCCCTGCTGCTATGCAAAGTCATCATCTTGAGAACTTGGACGTGACCATGGCCGGTTTACTGCCCTAGGGTTCCCTAACTGTGGGGGAGCCATCAAAAGGATGCACATCCCCATCCATGCACCAGACCATCAAGCGGCCCAGTTTATAAACAGAAAGGGATACTTTTCTGTAGTCCTACAGGCCCTGGTGGACCACTGGGGCCAATTTATAGACATTTACGTGGGGTGGTCGGGTAGGGCTCATGATGCCTGAGTATTTAGAAACTCCAGCCTGTGTGCCAAACTGGAGGTGGGTACCTTTTTCCCATACCGGGAGTTTGTGGTGGGTAACCAGAACATGCCAGTGTGCATAGTGGGGGATGTGGCATATCCACTAATGCCCTGGCTGATGAAGCCATACACCGGCCACCTCGATCCCATCAGGGACCTTTTCATTGCCCACCTCAACCGAGAGAGGATGCAGGTTGAGTGTGCCTTCAGGCACCTCAAGGCACGCTTGCCTTGCCTCCTCACCTGCCTGGTCGTAGGGGAGCAGAATATCCCTGAGGTAGTGGCGGCGTGCTGTGTGCTCCACAATATCGTGGAGCGCGATGGGGAGGCCTTCCTCCTGGGGTGGGGAGCAGATGCCGGCTGTGAGGGCCATGTGTTTGAGCAGCCCCAGACAGCTGCCACCCGCCAGGACCATAAGGCTGACATGAACATCTGGGAGGCCCTGAGGGAGAGGTTCTCTCAGGCACTGCAGTAACTCTCCCCAGGGCCTTCCCAACAGGGGCCTCTGCCTTTCAGCTCTCTCCCTTCCCCCTCTCACTCCCTCGCCTTACCCCTTCCCTGACCTCCCCATAAACACACCTGTGTGGTTTGAAAACAAAAGGAGGCTTTCTTTATTGAACAGTAAGAAAAGGTGGGCAGGAGGAGGGCGAAGGGGAGGATTCTGAACTGGGAGGGCGGATCAGGACTGGCAGGCAGAGTGGGGCAGCTCAAAGTCCCACCTCGGATGTGGGGACCTCATTGGGGTTGTGTGGCCTTCCCTGACCTCCCCATAAACACACCTGTGTGGTTTGAAAACAAAAGGAGGCTTTCTTTATTGAACAGTAAGAAAAGGTGGGCAGGAGGAGGGCGAAGGGGAGGATTCTGAACTGGGAGGGCGGATCAGGACTGGCAGGCAGAGTGGGGCAGCTCAAAGTCCCACCTCGGATGTGGGGACCTCATTGGGGTTGTGTGGGTCTGGGGGCCACAAAGAGATGGGCAGGAGGGGGGGCTAAAGCGGGGTCAGGGCTGGCGGGATC